AGGGTTTTACTTTTCTTAGCAGCTTGAATGGAAACTGAGGAAGTTTTTAACCCAAGATAGTTTCGTTCTGAGGAATGAAATGCATTGAGCATCCACCATAGGTTTGAGCCATAATTTCTGTCTGCAACAAGAGTGACCACTGAGGTAGCCTTCTACTGTCATCGTTATTCGTTTCTAAACATGTTTAAGGTCTTTTTAAGCCAAATATATAGTTTGCTGTGTTTAGCTGATTTTGTACCAAGACTTTAAATGGTGCCAAAAAATGTTTTAGGTAGTTTCTTAAAGTGTTACTAGGACCTTATTCCTTTTGTTGACCTACTCCAGTTTTCATGATCCGTTTGCATTTTCGTGACGACCAATACTATGCAGGATAATTCAGTATCCGTTTCTTTGGTTGAAATACCAAAAATAAGATGAAGTGAAACACTTCGACGAAGCGAACGCGATTGCTGAAAAATGAACATTTATTATTATACTCGTTTTTTTTAACTGTACCAAAAACACTTTTCAAGCGCAACCTTCTTTTCGCATCGCTGCAATTTATCATAACGTGCTGCACTTTATTTAATGCCCACTTTCTCCTTCAATAGAATTCGAACATGGATTTATTTTTTGATTTATGTTGTAGTGCCTCCACATAACTTGGTTAAGCCCTTTCGAATAATTTATTTAACCAAGCCATTTGTATAGCAACAACTCATATGTACCTTTAGTATTTTTTATTATCTGCTTTGTATGAGCCTGTAGGACTGAGCACTGCTTACGCTTACGCACTTACTCATCCTTTTCGCTTTAATGTTATTCTCTTAATTTCCGTATGATCACATATGATTTGTATCGCTTGCTTTTGACCTTGTCAATCATTCGTCGCTTTTATTCATGTGTGTGCATACCTATTTCGCTTGTCATATGTCTGTCTTATTCTTATCTGACTATATATTCTTAGTCATGTTCTATCTCTTTGAGTTGGCTCACTAGCCTTCTCCACGTCGCTTCGTTCATCCGCTTGCATTGTAATCCAAAGAGTTGGCTCTTAGCCTTCTCCGATTCGCTTCTTCAATTCGCTATGTGGTGTGCCTCAAATAAACGTATACGATACTTTGAGTTCATCTTCTGATTTATAAACAGAGCTTAAGAACACGCCCGAATCGGCACACCTCAATGTGACGGAATAGTATGGAACATTCAGTGGTGATTATAGTCAATCACGAATCGGTCACCACTAAAAAGGCTTAAAGCATTATAAATCCCACATATTTGTAAAGAAGTACTAGTGCAGACAATAATATTGAACTAAAGAAATCCTCTCACTACTTGCTGTAGAAGGACAGTCAAACAACAATACGCAGAGTTTTGATTTGGTTAAAATGTTGAAAACAAAACAGAATGCACATAGCCTTATGTTGTCCATTCTCTTTGCACAAATACAGAACCCTTGAAAACATGAATAATACAAAGTTTGTCTGGTCTACTAACACGCTACCAACTTGGAGCACTTCAGGTACAGGATGGCTTCTTTGAACCACACTACTGAAGGTCGTCGAAACTACTGAGCTGTTGTACGATACTGTGCACAGTATGTCATAGTCAGGCCGATGGGGTGGTGAAATGATTCCACCCTCACCTAAATGCTACCCTTTTTTGTTGTATAAATCTCCTACATTTAGTTGTGTTGGGAATAAAAACAGCCTTGAAAACTGATACACTTTGCATTGAAAGTAACAAGCTAGACCTGAAAATTTAATCGTATCAAACAGGAGATCAAATGTTTAGCAATCTCATCCTGTAGGAGATAAATGTGCCAACACTTAGCCGTCCAGAAAAAAATTATCTAAGCCACTTAAACTATGCTCAGGGCGGTAAAGGGTATTTATTTAAAACAGTTATCATGCCTCATGGTGAATCCCTAGTTTCCTCATACGTCATGAGGCTGATGCTCCTCTTGTAAACTAGAAGAACAACTAATGTTGTTACATGGTATTGTGGTGGACCAATCAATGTATTATTTCAAAATAAGTTTGTCATACCATCTCCACATAGCTCACCCCGCAAAGTGTCCGGATGTAACACTGGTTATATTTAAAAAATGTGGGAATACGGTGTTTGTATTTATGCAGAACAATAATTAGAAAGATAATGCAAGTAAGTTGATAATGGTATGGCATGTACAATAATAATACGATGCGGTAATGTAAAACGAAATTTGAACACATGGTGCAGCTGGGTATCATCCGCCAGTCAAACAGCCCATGGGCTTCGCCACTACACATGGTTCCAAAGAAAGATCAGGACTGGCGCCCATGTGGCGACTATCGACGTTTGAATATTCAAACGACACCAGACAGATACCCCATTCTCCACCTCCACGATTTTTCACTTAACTTACATGGAAAACAGTTCTTTTCAAAACTTGACCTGGTAAGGGCATATCACCAAATCCCGGTGGCACCAGAAGATATCGGAAAAAACAGCCATTACCACGCCTTTTGGTTTGTTCGAATTTTTGAGAATGCCATTCGGGTTAAAAAACGCAGCCCAAACGTTCCAACGATTTATGGATGAGGTAACCAGAGGTCTCGACTTTCTTTCGTCTACATCGATGATGTCCTTATAGCTACGGCATCGATCGAAGAACATGTTCAACACCTACAAACCCTCTTCGATCGCTTCCAACAGTATGGAGTTGTCATTAACCCTTCCTAGTGCATCTTCGGCGCTCCTGCCTTGGAGTTTCTAGGACATTACATAGACTCACAAGGCATAAGACCACTACAGGAGAAAGTTGACGCGATCATCAACCATCCTGATATTACCTCAGTAAAGTCATTACGCCGTTTCCTTGGAATGTGTAATTTCTACAGACGATTCCTACCACATTGCGCTGAAACCTTGCAACCTCGAACTGATATGTTAAAAGCCGATAATCAAGTGACGAAGAAAAATGAAATATTCAACTTACCGAACGACGCTTAAACTGCATTCGAGAACGCTAAATCTCTGATATCCAACGCCACTATGTTACATCACCTCAACACTGACCCCACGACAAATCTAATTCTATTCACAGATGCGTCGCAGTAAGCTGTCGAGATAGTGCTACAGGTTAACGACGTCATCACGCCCATAGCGTTCTTTTCTAAACGACTATCACGTCGGGCTCACCAAATAATTATGGTGGACCAACCAATGTATTATTTCAAAACACGTTTGCAATACCATCTACACAGTAAGTTCGCAGTACGAGAAAGACCAAGAAACCTACCGAAGCATCCCTCAAGAGGATTACAAGGAATATAATCTCGTGCTATAGTTTCCGCAATGATAGCTATGAAGATGATATGGGACACTGAAGTCAATTATAAGAAAATGCCTAACAAAGGATTTGACCATTCAGATGGGGGACCTAACCACTAAGATTGAAATGGACTACACTGGATACAAAGGAATCACGAGACGATATGGACTAGGAGGAAGAAACCGAAATGGTGAGAGATTTGCGAACCTATAGCGGACATGTTGAAACTTAGGCTAAGGAAACACTAGACAATTGGTGAAACAGCATTATAAAATTGAATACAGCTTTTTGAGAGCCTAATAAACCCAGCGAGTTAAAGATAGTTGTCAGTGATATGTTCCCGGTCTTGCATGGTCTATTCGATGGAGAGGAAACTGAAATGAAGAACTACCATAGCAGTATCAGTGAGATACTCATTTCAACATGTTGTAGCAAATTGAGACTACTTATCGCGAGATAACCAATTAAACGTCTTTAAGGCCAGATATCAAAAGAGCGGCTGCGATTGTAGGTCCACGTTGATTGACCGATGGTCTCGTGATATTGAAAAGTTATCGAAGTTACAGTATGAGACGTTAGAACAACCACCGAGACGATCGATCTATGGTGGCGTCACGTGACGCGCGAAATTATTGGTTTTTAATACAGTTGAACAAAAGGGGTACAATAAAACAATCATGTGTACTGTTGGGTACAATAATAAATGCCTTATATTCGTAAAAGTGTTCCACTACAATTTCATGAAGTCTTCGGCCACAAGAAGTGCTATCATAAAGGAGTGGATCACCGTTCATATTCCTGATACGATTAAAGAAAGGAAGAACAGGAAGACAGCTATTAATAACAGTTGAACACAAGCAGAGACATCGATGGCATACGCCAAATACACAGAATCAAATTACCTATAAAGGAGGAGCACTACAGCTGATAAGCGGAAATTTGTGGAAGACCCATCAGATTGATTAAGAGTGGCGAAGTGGCAGGATCAGACTAACTAAGATCAGTTCCATGATGTAAAATGATGACAAATATTCTTTAATTAGATTAACTAGTCATCCATTGAAAAAAATTTTTAAAATAAACAGTATATATCAGTTGTTACGTTCTATGACTTTTCAGCAATAAATACTATCATTCAAAATAGTTTTTAAAAGATTAAAGTGGTCTTAATTTATATTATAAGGAATGGACTTTATATTCCGACTTATCCAGACAATATTTTACATCTCGAAAAAGTTTATCATTTTAAATAAGAACATAGTACAAGTAACCACTTAGACTAACTAATGACTGATTGTAGTCACTTAAATTATTTTAAATTGAAGTTGAGGATAATCAGTTTGGTAAAAATATAACTTTTTATTCGTAAACACAAAAAGATATAAAATGTTAGTATCATTATCAGTCCATCGCTGGAACTAATCAATTTTGTGTAAAATATTTTCGAGGTGACTTAACTGATAAATACAAGTCTATGAATTTCACAATATTTGCACATATGTTCAGGAGTAAATAACCAACGACAGGACTTTTGAAAATATTTCTAACTCTTACAATAATTATGAATATATTATTCATTTAAAATAAGTGTTCTAGGGAAGCTTTTATGCATCAGTTTGATTACATATATTCAATATCCAATAAATATGCTTCACTGACAATTTGCTTATTTTTAATTTCTAGAAAACTGAACCATTTCTACAGAATGCAATACAAACAAATTCATTATTTTAATGTTCATCCTATGTGGAAATTATCACCCGCATTAAAGGCGATCAGAGTAACTTTTTATATTGAATGGTTGAATAAAAATTTTCAGTTTTGGATACATATTTTTCTATGTTTGATTGAAATTATCCTCACTACAATACTCATTTGTAAATTGTAAGTTTCACTTGTAATTACTGAATGAATCTTATTTTAGTTGCAAATCGTGTAAGGAAACGGATAAATACAAATGGGTTTTACTAGGTTTAATGTAAGTTATTGGAAATAATTAAGTATTTCTGACAGTTTAATAGACATTTCAAATAAGTAGTTCACTATGTGCTTCGTAACTGGATAGTAAACTATGAGAATATCACGGTGATGGGCTTTCATTATATGCTGGTTGTTAGGACACATAAACAGTTGTACTGTCAAAAGTCATTTTTGTGACTGTTGACTACGAAACCTGTTTCTCTATTTGCCTACATGGTAGTAGACAAGAAAAACTGTGACGGTTGTAATATAAAAGTGTACAGTTGATTTTGTATGTACGATGATAATATGAAATGTGGACAGAATCATAGTTGGTAAATTGGACAGGTGGTTCAAGTCGAATGTATACTGCAGTCTTCTTTCCTACTGAGTGTCGTAGACAAAGGTTTAGCTATTCAGCACTCTTCGTGGTTGGCAGTAAGCATTTCCGCTTTGTTCCTTCGGACTCCTTCAACTTCAGTTGGTCTTATAGTTTTAATTTGTTATTCTCTGAATAAGTAGCTTATACATGGTCACAAAAATTCACAAAATGTCCCAATATTTTTACTCAGTTGGATATTAAAAATGTATTATATTATATTGATAGCAGTCTACCAATGTTCAATGTACCTAAAATTATCAAGAAAAATCCTAGTTATGATACTGACAAACTAGATTTGTTTATTGATTGATTCTGATCACTCATGTTATTCAATTTATAAATTAATAAAGAAGACATTGATTAGAATAATTAAATACTTCATTTGCCCTATGAATTATTCAATATTTACTGAATAAAATGATGAATTCGAAATCCGTTTTCTTTAAATGTTAAACTCAGACCAAGTTCCATAATATTCTCACTTCTATTGATCACTGTACGTGAAATGCGAGAACATTTCCCAATGAATTTTATCTTCCTGCATTTAAATGTAAGTTTTATCTATTTGTTTAATATTGCATGAAGTGTGTGCATTCAAGATATCCCGTACCCACAACATGTATTGCGAAACAGTAGGTGATATTCGACATTTATCAGGAACAATCTCTTTAAAATGTTTTATTAGACATGCATCACCAAACAGTGATTAAATTACTTTCTTGAATAAACTAAAAATTTGTAATTCAATCGGTACAATCGTTTGATTTGAAGATGTTGTTTCATTAAGTGTAGAATTTTCGCCTAGTGTTCAGTTCATCCCTGTAAATCGCCTTACCTTTTGGGCTATAGAGCTTTTACTCAAAGTAAGGTTTTCTTTTAAGCTGTTTTATTGATGATTTCTAATTTTTCCACTAATGAACCTGCTCTTTTTTCTTTTTATTAAAATATTAGACGTTGTTAATGTGTTTTGCATTTATACCACCAATACTGAGCACCAAAATCACATATACCACGATATCGTTTGGTCTCGCGGCATTTATTCTATTTATAGTGATTTTACTGGGGATGTCAATCAAAGTTGAAATTTCTCCGATTATGTTGATTCTTGTTATGATCAGTTTCATTGCACTGGGACTGATATCATCGATTACATTGTATTTTGCTCACCAAAGTGTACGTCTTCATAAAATTTTTACAACAGTATTCGCAAAGTACAATTTTAATTGAATAAATTTGATAATCTGTAATCAATCAAATTGTTGAATGTCACCACAAAATCTCTGTAGAGATGAATGATAACAATGTTTTTAACACTTATATGAATAATTTCTAAAGCACATTTCATCGTTTTTATGTGCAAATCTTTGATACTACCTATACGGTTTTGATTTCCACAAGTGATATATAATTAAAATAGTACTATTAGTGCTGAATGATTTCGTTTTTCGCAGAATATTTCTTAAAATGTACAATAATCTTCTTCTGACAGTATGTTTTAAGGATCAGTTTCAGTCAGTGAACATATGCAAAAGTAGTGGAATTATAAAGAAAATCTTGTGTAATGTAAAACAGATAGATTACGGATGACTTACGATTTCATAACGGAATCATTGTATCATTATGTATATGTAATGTGAATGAGCATTGAAATGTAGAGCTAGATTACATTGTTTAATCTTAAAATTCATTGTAAAATAGATTTGAATATTCTATGGTGTTCTCCATGTTGAATTGCATAAGTGGATGTAAACGATGGCTTAAAGAATATTTTTGAAATAAAGTTTAGGTTAAGCCTTGGTCTCTGCTTTCATAAAAATTACTATGTAGAAAGAAGTACATTTTCTAAAATGTAAAGTGTATATCAACATCACATAGATTTCAAATGAAAATCATTCATGATGTAAAATACGTCTCATTTAGTGTTGGAAAACTACATCGTTCTGTGTAATAGTACACATCAATGTGGAAAGGTAGCCTATTTAATTGAGTACAAGAAAATCAGTGATATAAATCCGTAGCCAAACAAGGCACTTGATGAGTTTGTTTTCTATTTTTAGGTCGCAGTTAATGTGATGGGAGCATTTGTTCTCCTGTCAGTTTTACCAGTAAGTTCAACATTAAAAAAAAGTAAGTTTTGTTATAATGTGACAACTGACAATTGTTTGACAAATCACTTTATAATCAGGATTGTACAGAATGTAAGATAATTTATCCTGTCGTTCATTATGCGGTTGTCAAATGACGAGGTAATACCTGTCATTATCGAATTTGTTATATCTTCGACTTTACAAAAAACAGTCGACCTGTCATAGGAAGTTCATAATAGAAATTTGTTTGAAATAATTCTGAAATCTAGTCCACTTCACATTATATTTACAACAGATAAAGCCTAATGCAATATTTTTGATAACCCCGAAGTATCATGAAAAATAGTCCTAAAGTGAACTCTACGTAAACGTAAAATGTAGAGCACTGAGGAATGCACAAGTATACAATTTGCATAGTTAAATGACAAATTCGTAGACTGAAAACATGGAAACTCTCTATGCTTTATGTTTGCGAAAATATGTGTTGAGTAACATGTGAAATCTATAAGTTTGAATTTCATTTAGTAGAACTATACATCTAGTTTACTGTAATAGTAAGCAAGTTCTCCTCTTTATTCAAAATTTTTATTAGTTACTGATATTTATTGGCCAGCAATTGAAACTAGAATCCTATCCATGGATGCTTCAGTCGGATTGCATATTTTATGCTGTCGTGATATCAATAACATATTTGTTCATATTTTATTCAATCGACATGCAGTTTTTCAATTCACAGCATTAAGTCAATACTGTCAGCGGTAAATATTTGCAGTGTAACGTCTATTCATATGAGAGAGGTATTCTGTTATTCTAAATATAATCTTTATAAACTATTACCAATTTTAACAAATAGAGTTGGTAATCGAAATATGTCGTTTCTTCTGAATTTGTTTAAAATAAATGTTATTTCAGTTATTCATCAATTGTTATTATGTTCCAGTACTTGGTTTTTCTCTAAATTAGTGAATTCTAGAATTCAGGCCTAAACACTCTAGTCCAGATTTCATCAGTAGTTAAGATCAATTAGGACTGGAATCCTCAAAGTGAACAGGGTTGTAGGCTTCTTAGGTGTGTAGAACAGTGTCAGTCAGCATCACGCTTTACTTTACAATGTACTACGTCTTGTGATAAGTTGCGTTCTGTATACGTCTCCCGATTAAATTGGCAGGTCGGATAGTAAGTCTCAAAAGAATCTTTTAGTTATAATACGTGTTAGAGTTAAATTGGAACAAATAATTTCCTTTGCTTTATTGTAGCCTTCTTCTTGTAGTAATAAAATGCGACGTACTACTATTTCCTTAGCTAACTTTTCGTAGTATTCCAGTAAT